GGACGCTTGGCCTCTAGTCTGAGTATCCGCGTTGATCCAAATTATATTTGACGTACCTGTAAGGTTTTCAAAAACAGCTTCATCAAAGCTAAATATAATTCTTTCTAAAATTCGGTTATTAAAGAAGTATCTCGGGACCAAATTGCCTTACCATTGGTTCAAACTGATCCAAATTTCATACCTGGTAAGCACAATGAAAATGAACTTTGTAATGTTATAAAAAGATGTAGTCAATCTCTTAAGCTAATTAAATATCTTTTGGCACATGGTGAGGCGCTTGTCTTGAGATACTAATCACATTATACAAAAGCTATATTAGATCAACTATAGAATATAGGTACTTTATCTACTACTATGATAGGAAAAATTCATTACCAAGTTGGAAAATATTCAAAATTATGCTATCAGAGGTTCATTAGCATAACGAATAAGCACACCAAATCTTATACTTACAGCTGACTCTAAGCTTTTTATTATTAAAAAAAACAATTATATACTTATAAAAAGCTAATTATCCAAAGTTTCGTGTACTACTGGTTCTTTATTCATTAATAATATCCATAGCTACAGACAAATAATTAAAAAAGCCAAGCATCATACGAGAAATATTATTCTTCCATGTTTTGAATTTCTATTAGAAGTTACAGAAAAAATTAAGAAAGAAAACAAAGGCCACATACTTATTAAAAAGATCTAAAGATCTTAGTGTTATGTTTAATAAAACTTTCTCTGTCATAGATGGACATAAAATATTTGTAAACGATAGTAAACAAATCCTTTGGGGGATTTACTTGTCGTTGTAGTGAAGTAAACATATGTGTCAAAAATCCATTGATAAATAAGACTCCGTTTTCAAAGCTGAATCAGTTGCATTGAGGGATGCAGTAGATATTGCTTTATATCATAAAAATTAAAAAAATTGTGAAAAACTTCAACTTCTCTGATCTTGCAAACATTTTACAAAGCCTTTAGTTTCTTTATATCTATAACAAAACCAGTGATTATATTATTCAAATTAAAGAAAAGTATAATCATTTTCACATTGATAACGATGAAACACTACAATTATGTTTTACTAGATTTCGTAACATGCTAGATTATCAGAGAATGAGAATATCGACAAATATACCAAACAAGCCGTTGAATCTCAAAAAGCTGACACGTAGCTTTTGCCATTTACAGACCCTTTAATCTGCAAATAGCCAAAATTTTAACGTCAATTTCAAGCTTGTGCCTTTCAATTATAACCCGTGTGAAAAAAATATTGGAAAACATATTCTTGTGTATAAAAGTCTCATTTTTCGAATGGCACCATCAGATTTATAAATAAATGAGCACAAATTGTTTATTTTTAAAAATAAACAAAAAAAATGGAGATTTTTGATTTTTTTTTAATGAATTTTTTTAACTATGTTCTCGGCACTCAAGAATATTCTAACCCATTAGGATGCGGGACCCGAATGTTGTATTTCAAAAATATACTTTGACAAACTTTGATCGAACGTCACAAACGTGGAAAAGATTCCGAATCGGAAAAAAATTGAATTGCAACCATGATTTCTGGGTTTGTCGAACTTTTATTCTCCACTCTAGGATAAGATCACCTTTCAGGGATTGTACAATAAATACAAATTTGAATACAGTTTCTTTAGGAATAAACTCATGAAAATAGAATTGTCATTATAGCTACTGATATGATTTCGTGACCTGGTGTTCTTCGAAGTTCGACATTCATAAACGCAAGATGTTCGTAAATTTGACAGAAAATTTATATGAAAACTATGATCTTCAAGAGCATTGATGTCCTTGCAGTAAGAACCGGAAAACTCCGATCAAGAATGCGTGGTTGCAAAGTTTGGAGGCGAATTTTCTATTTCCGGCATTTTGATCATTTTTTACTCGAGAATGGCGGCTCTGACCGGAAAGTGTATAGAAGAATTTTGATTCCAAATTTCACATAGATTTTATTTTTTATTTTTCCTGAATTGCTATTTTTTAGTTTGCAGTCTGCCATCTTGGATCCGCTATTTTGAATTTTGATAAGATAATAATGAATTTGGATCTAATGGTGCTGAGAGTTTATAAAACTATTGAATAAAGAGGAATGAAGATTATACAGTTTCTATAAAACTGTGTAAGTACGTTATTTTAGCTGACTCATCACGGCTGCCATCTTGAAAATCAATTTTCTGAGCTAATTTTGCTAATATGCATCCAATTTATTGTCACAATACTCAGAAAAGTCATTTTTCCCGCTAACACTTTGATTATACTTCAAAAGTGCATGTTACTGTGATTTTGCAATAATTTCAGGCATTCGGGCGCCATTTTGTATTGGTTAACAATAAAAATCAAAGTTTGTCAAAGTATATTTTTGAAGTACAACATTCGGGTCCTGCATCCTAATGGGTTAGAATATTCTTGAGTGCCGAGAACATAGTTAAAAAAATTCATTAAAAAAAAATCAAAAATCTCCATTTTTTTTGTTTATTTTTAAAAACAAACAATTTGTGCTCATTTATTGATAAATCTGATGGTGCCATTCGAAAGATGAGACTTTTATACACAAGAATATGTTTTCTAATATTTTTTTCACGCGGGTTATAATTGAAAGGCACGAGCTTGAAGTTGAAGTTAAAATTTTGTCCATTGGCCCGTTAAAGGGTTAATAGACAGCTTCAAAAAGCAAGTGTTCCCAAAAATTACGAATATCTTATAAGTCCTGATCATGGTACTGCAAAAATTTATTTCCAATCATATTACAATAATAAACGCAAACCTTGGTATTATAAATATAATCTAGATAGAGAATCTAGTGTTACTATCAACCGTATGAGATATAAACACTATAACCTTGTGACGAGAGCAAGCGTTGCGCTTGTTCTCGTCGGAATTTTCCCAAATTCCCCTCTCTCTCGGCAAGGCACGGTGACCAGCGTTGGGCGCATTTAAGAATGCGTCTAATGCATGGTCTCTGTTTCAGCTGACGGAGATTGCCGAGCGGGGCCGAGCAGGCCCGAAGCTGCTACGCTGGTGACAGAGAGTATAGAGGTGTTAGAGAGAGAGAGAGAGAGAGAGAAATAGTCGGGGGGCGTGCGTGCCCTACGCAAGATTAGGCAGGCGCGCGTTTCGAACCAATTAGCGCATTGGTCGCACGCCGTCTAATAAGTAGATCAAATGGGGAGAGAAAAAGAACGACGAAGAAGCTGTAGATCGCGAGGAAAAACGAGCGAAACAGACGGTAGTAAGTCGAGGGCAGAGTCAGAAGGTTTTCCGAGTCGATCGGAGCAAGACGGTGGACGGCCAGCGGTGAAAAAGTCAGAAGTGCAGCCGAGGACAAAGGGCCAAGAAAAAGACGATTTGGTCCTGTATCTACTCGGGACGTTACCTGGGAAACCGATAGGAGTTGCCCAGCGACGACCTGCAACATCGTGCGCAGGGCGCAGCCGGGACTCCCGCTCCAACATAAAAGGTTAACTTCGCAAATTAATTTTTCTCTTTCTCTCTCTCTTCAACGACGGCACTGTGCGTAAATTTAAATATTAGGTAGGTAGCAAGGCGTGCACACGCCGGCTACCTGCCCTAATTACGGTTGGGTAATAAATCGCTCAAAGAGAAATCGTCCAGGCGATCCCTCACCGGGCGACTTTCTCTTTTAGCTAAATAGCCTATGTCGGTTTGTCATCAAGGTGGTCATCTACCGGGTGACTCGCGTTGTGTTTTCTATAGATTTGTAGGCGCGATTAGTTAGTTAACTTATTCTCTTTGTAATAGGTGTTAAGAACGTCGTTGTGTTTATTAAATTAAGAGTTTGTGTAATGCGGCTTATTCTTATGCGATTTGTTAATGTGCGGTATTACGAAGTTTGAGTGTAATGTCCCTCTTCCTCCTTCCCGCCTCAATTGCTATTAGCGAGTGTGCCTCACTTGCCCACCTTTAAATAATGGTTAACGAACGAGCTTTCTTTACAACCTAGTAGCTTTTATAGCTCGAATTGGATTAATTCAGAACTCTGAATGTAAAAATTACGTTGAAAACTTGAACCATATTATTTTTCAGTGTGAATTATACCATGACAAGAGATCTCCTCTTATTATAAATCTTATAAATAAAAAATGAATCTTTGGTTTTCTTTCAATATAGAATTTTCGATTTATAAATCAAGTCTCGTTGTTTGTCAACTTATATTTGACTTTTTTAATGACTTATATATATATATATATATATATATATATATATATATATATATATATATATATATAGTTTCTTATACCTTTTTATAATAAATATAATCTAAATAATGTACAATAAGCTTAATCAATAGTTATATAATCTATCTCGTATACTGTATAATTTCTAAAATTACTTATATAGCTATTTATGGAAAAGTTGAAATTTAGCTAAGTCTGATTTAAGATTAATAGACTTAAGATTTATTTAGATTTAAGATTGATAAAAAAATATATAAACGTTTTCAACGATGCAATATAAGTTGAGAAACAGATTCAATGTGAAAGACGGCAACACAGTACCAATAAGTCATGAAAGGCTTTATTAACAAATAGTAGGCTTCCTCAAAGCGGATAAATGACTACACCCAATCAACTAGCAGAATAACCACCTCAGCGAATATCAATACAAATAATCTCTGCTTCGGTCCAACCAGGTCCACACGCGTTTTTAGGTCCAGAGGACCTAAAAACCTACTTAAAAACTTACCACCACCATCTCAATTTTACAAGAAAATATACAATGCAGAAATCAGTTACACTCATTGTTTCCGGAGCAACTTTTTAATTAAACTTTCCATCCTGCATAACAATCAAGAAAGACCTAGAATAATTTTATGATTTTATAAGAGATTTAGATTTACCTATAGATAGAACTAAAAGTACCCTTATTATCACAAATATACATATTTAATATTGAAGTATAAAAATTTATTGACTAAAAGAATTAAAACATGTTTGTTGTAATAAAAAAAAATTGTATCGACAAGGTCAAGAAAATTTATTAGTGTTTTATTCAGATGTACAAGGGTTGTTCATGAACTACATTCAAATATTTTCCTATTTCAATAACTTGTTAGATAAAGCAATTTTTCAATTCTTAAAATTCACAGTTTAATTTGGTCTAGAAAACTTTTCTAAACGTTACAGATATCTTTCATGCTATTTTTAATAAACATTTCTATTTCTTCCAATATTAGTAGTCACTATAAACGCTGCACACACTGATCACTTGTCAAATTGTACAAAGTATATAAATAATATAGAATTATAGCACCGAATCATTACGTCATATCAACAAGTTAAACACATGCCATAACCTTTATCTCCAACTGACCAATCACAATCAATAGAGGTTTCACTTCTCTTTATTATCATTTTTAGTAAGAATTGTGATATTTTTCCAAATTTCAATTAATTTTTTAGAAGGTTTGCGGTATAACGAACTCTAGATTAGGATTCAGTATATCTGAATAAACAATGGTATGTTAGTATTAGCAGAAGAATAGCCTACATTTATGTGTATTGGTGTTATTAATAAATATATATTATATATTACATAATAGTTTATCGAAATAATTTTTTCTTATTTCTGTAACGAATAGTTTCTAAATGATTATGTTGTATACAGTAAATATGACATTTTATCGTTATTATCACGAAATTATAAATGTGTTAATAATCAAGGCCTTCCTTTCAGTACATCCATGAACAAGCATTCTTTATATTAATATAAGGTATTAAGAAATCAATTTGACGATAACAAAGAATAAAATAAATTGAAATAAATTTTTATTGAATTTGCAATTTATATAATTACGAAGAATATCGGCATTATACAAGACCACAATAGTAACTAATATTTTGATTCAAAACTGAATAACAGAATCTGAAAAGGAACATTCAAAGCAAATAATAAATTTATTTTTCCTCACACCACTCATTTTCTTTACGAACTTGTTCCTCTTCGGAAGCAGTGAAATCGTTTTTGATGTTAAATGTCTTACGAATTTCTTCTGGAGTTTTTCCTTTGATCATATTAGCCACAGTTTTACATGTAACGTCCAAAAGACCTTTAATATCTAAATAGTTTGCTGCTAATATAAGTTCAAATAGAGTACCTTGATCAACCTGAAACAGACGTTAATTGAAAAGAATTTACATAATATGGAAAGGTTTTTATATACAAACGAGCAGCAAATATAACGATAAATGGCACAACGTATTGCTATCATAAATAAAAACATTTACTGTATCTGTATTATAATTCGCTAAATTAACATTAGATAATGCAACGGTCATGTAGTATTCCTCAAGTATCTGTGTACGGCAACACATCTGACTTATGATTATCTCAAATTTATCTATAGCGGTTGTTGATAGCAATAAAATCTTTCTTCTTATAAGGAATACTGTTTAGTATCAATGCTAATAAATGAGATGTTAATTGAAAGTCTCATAAATAACAAACAAAAGGGAATTCAGATCAGGATGGGAAGGCGTGTGCAATTTATAATAGATACGCTGAGATTTAGTTTAACTGTTACGTCTCGTGCATCAACTACGAATAGCTAATGAATGAGACGTTCCAATATGTTGACTAGTGGTCGGATATGTCTCACTTATAATAAATATATGTGGAAATGTATGTTTGATAAGTGTACTACCTTGATAACCGTAGCCTTTAATTGTTGATAAAATGTAGCAGGCTCTAACTGCTTGTTGAATTGTATGAATATAGCAGGCTCTAACTGCTTGTTGAATTGAATAAATGTAGCAGGCTCTAACTGCTTGTTGAATTGAATAGGATAGGTTGTAGAATAATACTTGCACGAATATTACTTTGTAACAGTCGCGAGTTTATTAATTAAAATGATCACCAATTGTCGGACCGGTGTGTACGGAGTTGAGTCTTACAGGTACTTATTGACAGACTGACGAACTACTGATCAACTCTACTCGTAATGATGTTCATTGCTTTTTATATGTTAATTTTCAGGTCAGTATCGAATTGTGACATTTTGTTTTTTGCTGAATATACATTCTTGTGCTCGGTGGCTTTATTTCGGAGTGCTATTTGTTTCGCGTTTTGTCAGCTTTCTGCTGACGTGTGAATATTTCAGCAGTTTTGAATTTCCTGAATATGCATTTGTTACAAAAGAGGATGTGTCGTAAGGTGTAACAACTTTATTTCGGAGTATCATTTACCTCGCTTTTCGTCAGCTTTCTGCTGACGTGCGAATAGTTTTAGAAGCTTTGAATTTCACGAGTGTGCAGTTGTTACAAAAAGGATGCGTCGTAAGACGTAACATAACTAATGATTGTAATTTATTTAACGAAAAAGAGAAAATGCATGAATGCGTTATATTTAGCCAGCATAAAAAACCCCAGTCATGAGTGGGGGAAAAGCCATTTAAATACAAGTCACAAATACAATTAATGATATACAATTACATAGATGCAAACCGGACAAAATAGTAGTTACGCTGGTAAACTATTAACACCTACCAGTGAATTTCGCGGACGGAATTATATTAGCAAATGCAGGTAGAGAGAGAGAGAGAGCCCTCAACTGACAAATATAGGTACCTACGCTGGTCAAATGAGGCTCGCAAGGTCTATGTCGCATCGCACGCTTGAATGGCCATTCAGGTAGTTTTTGCACTCACTCGTCCTCGCAGGTGATTAAGAAGGAAGGTGTTGCCCCACACACACACGGGCGCACCGCAGTCCCGACGTCTCGGGCACACACACGAACTGCGGTAACACCTAGGTTGCCGAGCTGATAGGCGGAGTTGAACACCGAGCAACACCTCAGGGACGCGAAGACGTCACCAGCCAACGCAATTGGCCCTTACTCACAATGACGAATACACTCTACGCCTTTGATGACAAAACACGCTCGATCACTCTCAGATCACACAGTTTTCGTCGTCAGTTGATGCAGGCGCGGCGCGGAACTGATCGATCTATGAACCGTCCAGGACAAGCGGAGTTAGCCGTGCTTCACTGTTGAGTGTTCAAATCGAACTTACTTACACTACTCAATTTGGCATCGAGGGAACCGAGGGAAGCACGGAAAACTCCTCCCTACTCTCTGGGCCCATTCCCTGTGAGCGAATCCGAAATCAGCGATTTTATGGCGCGCGTCGGTCATTAAGTAATTTGAGTTTCCCCAGACGTGATGAGACCGAGGATTGCTCAGATGACGCCCACGTGTTTCGCTGTTATATTTGTTGGAAAACATCGTAAATCGCGGACAGCAATTCGAGCTGTTTAACTAGACGAAGGACATCTGCAACGCGGGTTGTTAAGGCGAACGGACAAAAAATGCTCAAACCCTCTATTCGCACTCATTTCTAACGGACGTCATGCAGGCCGGCGCGGCATTCGTGTTGATTTACGGACCATCGTTGATTGTTTTTTTTTATTACAGTTTCTGCTCTCGGAGCATCGTTTTTTTACACAGGCACACTCTCTCTTAGCCTTGAAGCGCAAACGGCGCAAACAAATACAGTGTCACAAGCAAATGAAGCTATAGATCTACTAATTCAGCATATTTATTAATTAATAATATTACTAGTTTCTAAATAACACAAAAGACTGTATATAACAAATATGATAACGAATAATAACACAAATGATTGATAGAGAAGGTCATGTACAAAATTTATTTAAGCACCTTGTAATGTGTTGCATTACAAGGCTTTGCCTGAGAGTGTGACACTATTTGCAACACCTCAGAGGAGCCATCCCCGTCCCTTGTCGCCCCGTAACCAAACGAATAATTATACCCGACTCGCGCTCTAACCGACACACTGTTTTATTTTCATTTTCGTCCACCCACACCCGGGAAAACGGCGCAACAAATCAAAGAACGTGATCCGATGGATGAGCGAAAAATGAAGCGCACGACGAGAAATTTTTTGCATTACTGGTTCCGAGCATTAGGTAACCTAAGCACTAGATTTAATGAATCTCCGATAAGAGAATAGGAGTTGTATCCGGAGCTGCTGGCACTTCCAGGACGCGAGAGGACGGAGAAGATCAACGATTGATTAGTACCATCGGCCTGAGGAAAGGATATCGGCGTGAGGTCACCAACCTGCTCGCTTTACGCAGTCACACAGTGGGCAGATAAAACCTGCTTCGATTTCCGAGTCAATCCCCGTCGATCGCCGTAAACTAACAACGGCGGTCTGGCGCCCTTATTATTAGTCGGGAAAATGGTCCAATCAGGCCTTGCGGCGGAAGTACTTCGAGTCCGCGGCTGAGACCCCCGAAATTTCCTGCCAGAACCTATATTATTGTTCAACGTTTTACTGATCTAATTGTCAGCCTCCTCAGGAAAAAGTAATATTGAAAAAATTACTTCACAAATTGTTAGTCGTGATTTATTACTTTGTTATATGATAGTAAACGAACATTTTAATTTTTATAATGAATAATGCTTACCTAAAATTTTGTCTTTGTTAAGAGTTAATTTTGTGATTAAAGACCGGTCATCTAATAATTCTATATAAATAAAGATTCATAATATAATGTAAATGCTACATATATCAAATTATTAAACCAAATCCAAAAGTTGAATCAGTCCATGATTGAATCATCCGTTAAATAAATTTTTGAAAAATGCTGTAACAGAAACCTACAAAATAAAGGGTTGTGATGTTTTCTGGTAAACTGATGGTAATTTTTGAAGTAACTTTTTGTCCGCAGTTAAAATTTGTCAAACACGTCTGATTTTTAGATATCCTAACTAAAAAGGTAAAAAAAGGTGGTTCTTTAGTATATTTGAGGTTTTGTATTATCGTGGAAAAATATGTTTTATAAAAAAAGAAAATCCCTAAAAAGAAAAAAGATGTTGTTTTATCTATAGAACAATGATTTGCAATGTAAATATGATTTTGAGAAAAATAATTTTTTTAGCGTGTTAAAAAAGTAAATTAAAATAATTGTTCTTTAGAATTGGTTTTTTTATTTCATAAAATATAACGTGGTCTTTTTTCCCATCGAATTCAGGAACTAAATTGCTAATATATTTAAGTGGCAATCGCAAGGGTGCTTGGACGGCCATGTCGCTGTTACTATTATTAAAAATTATTATTATTATTAAAAATTGCGCTCATTGAATTGTAAAGCACTAATGCTTCATTATATTGTTTATAAATTTTGTGTCATCTAAATTGCTACAAATACTGGTTTCGTTAAGCTGCTCTTCAAAATTTGATAATTCACCCTTGAAATATAAAAACTAGTGACCGAAACTTGTACCAGATGTAAGCTCAGCATTCAATAAAGAATTCGAATATTTTAAATTTAGAGTTGATTATCTTGATGAACTGTCGCCAAAAGTATTGCCGTGTCGACGTTCGCTAAAATATTGACAACGGTATTAGGAATTTTATCGTTGTTTTTAGGCAAAGTATATACTCGTAAAAAGGCGCTTTTAAGGACATAACATTTATACCGAAGGGTTGCAACGTTCTTTTTAAAGCGGGAAAATACACTATTTTTTGTACTGCTTTACGAAATGTAATATAGTAAATCAGCTCGAGTGATTTAAAAATCGAACTGATATTGAGAAAATACCAACATGAAATTAACGTTTTTCCGGATTAAAAACAAAATGTTCAAGGGGTGTTTCACCCCCTAAAAACCAGCCCCGTCAAACTATCAGCAGGTTAATCCACCGAAACCTGGAATAAATAAGTTTAGTCGTTTGTTATTTCTTGAAATAATTTAATCCTATGCATGAGCGAGCTACCTCAACTAACCAACCTGCCTCTAACCCACCAAACCCTCATAAACGACCCTTACCAAACCACATGCAGGCTAACCCACCTAATCCTGGGAAAAGCAACTTTAGTCGTTTGTTATTTCTTGAAATAATTGAATTTTACACCATAAGCGAGTTATCCCAGCTGAATCACATACCTCTTAACCACCTTACCCTAACCTATCTAACCCCCACCCTTATAAACCACCCTTATTGAACCAAATACGGGCTAACCTTATATAGATAGCGAAAAATAAATGTATTTCTTGAATAACATTCATGTTGTATAACAATATGTCCCAAGTATTACAAATTTTATGTAATAATTATTATTTTATTTTCATTATAAATA